CTTCCCACTGTATGCAATTCGACTACCAGCTAACTACTTTATCTCATAAATACGAAAGCCTAGGCGAGCCTTCTTTGAGCTCTCTCTGCTAGGCACTGTGACTGCACGGCCGTGATCTCCCCGTGAGCTAGGATGCCTCTCAGGGTTACTCTTTGAGGCAGAGAGACCTTTTACCAATGAGGATCATCGGATGAGCCCAACTTTAGTAATTCCTGAATTGCAGCTGGAATGAACACAAGGTGACTCCACCCTTGTGCAGGAATATCTCTCAAGGTTTGAGCTTCCTTACCAGAGACTGGGAGACCCTTCTTCACCCAAAGCAGCGAGATTCCTTACAGATCCTCAGTAAGTGACTGATAGCATGCTGAATCAATACTAATGACATCCATGTAGCTAATACCAGTAGACACAAACCACTGACCAAGTCTAAGTTTGGGCCTAGATGCACCTAAACTCCATCAGGAGTTTAGAAAGCAAGGGAGTCCGCTCTGAAGCTGGTAATTTAATGGGAGGGTCTTGCTTACATTTTTTCATCTCCGCTCTCCACGAATCATTCTAGCTCAATTCTAATCCGTTTTTCCTTTGTTTTCTCCACATAGTGAGTGAACTTTCCCATCAAATTTTCCTAAGTCGCAGTTTCACAAATTCATGTTAGAATCACTTTTTGCCAATACTTTTGACAGTGATTCTTAGAGTGATTTAAACCACTCATCTGTGACAACATTTCATAGACAAGCTGCTCTCACAACTTGTTGAGACCTTCCTGAAGCCTGTATTACGGCAAGTATATCTTCATGCTTATTTTTGAAATACATGTTTCCATATTTAGAGGATTAACACTGGATTAAACTACCTAATTCATTTTATTCAGTGTTCTGTCACCAACAGAAAAGCTAGTGCTGCTGAACAGTTAGTTGTGGAAAACCATCTCCATGATATCTGCAAGGAAAAAAAACCTCTGATGCGTCTGCAACTCAGTGCTTACTGTAGAAAATGGGATCAAACTTCAGGCAGCTACCCCAGGCTGCAATAGTACCCCAAGCACTCAGGAACACAAGTCACAGTAGTTGAAGCAAGATGAAAGTTATGCTTTAAGCAAAAAGAAATCTTTTGAAATACTGGGTATTAGAGTGTAAATCCCATATCCTAAAATTAGATCATCGATGCAGAAAACTGAATAATCAAATCTACTTTGCTTCAGATTCACTTAGACTCCTATCTAACTTGGCATCTCAGACAAGTCTGTTCCAAAACTTACCATTACAGTGCAGACAAAGTAACTTTCAACTTTATTTTCTTAAGCAATTAAAATTACACTATGTATGATGTATTCTTATAGTTAACAACAAAAAAAATCACACAGATGTTGTTCCTGATAGCAGGCAGAGCTATCAGGAGAACTTACTGATTTAAGAGGTTTTATTAGTATGTAGCCAGTTATTTGGAAAAAAATAAAACAAGCACACCAAAAGAAAAAAAAAAAAAAAGCATCCCTCAGATCTAGCCACTGCTCAGAAACTGAGGACATGAGGACATGATATCAGGACCCAACAGAACAGGACTGTGCTGAGGATAGTTTCCTCTATTTCGGAGGACTGAAATTTAACCCTCTAAACAGAAGTTCAACTTGCCCATACTATGCGAATACAGGATGGTTTTGAACTATGTATTTAAATTACTGATTTCATTTGTAAAAAAATATTTTTCCTATGAATTTACATCAGGATTATTTACTTTTTTCATTCATCCCACAAATTTGTTTTTTAAAAATCTAAAAGGCGTATGTTTTATGTAATTTATTCTTTCAGGTATGTCCAAAGTTATAAAAGGAATCTATTACGTATAAAAGCTATAGCAGTTAGAGTTCTCATGTATAATTTTCCAAGAGTTATAATATTCCATTGCTAGATTCCCAATAAGTTTTTGTGAAACAAAATAAAGTCACAATTCTTCAAACTGTTATGATCTTAGAGAAATGGGTTTCTAGTCTTTGAAAGCTTTGCCTGTTTTATCAGTTTGTCTTGTATTTCATGAAGTCTCTCTTTCCTCAACTGTAGATGAAGATCATTTAGTTCCAGTGTTCAGATATGTTAGAGTTTGTTTCTCCATGACTGTTTAGATAGACACTTCCTCTTCACCATTGCTTTGGAAATAGAAGTGCTACTGTTTCAATAAGGCATCATTTTCTGAAATACTGATTGATGCAACTTGTAATCAATAATAACCATTAATTTGTAGTTTCTTTTCACAGCACCAATGTGAGAATACTAAGAAGAATCCATTATTTATTTGGTTTATTTGGTAATTATAGGAGAACCACAGTCTGATCCCGAATCTAAAAGAAGGACTATGATTTTCAAATAATCCCCAAAATTGAGAGTTCACTTAAAATTTCAGACTGCTAAATATTCATTTTTTTCACATTAAGAAAAAATCTACACATATGCTTGAAGCATGAAAATAAACCAGCTTACACAACAGTGGGATAACAAGTAAAAATGCATCTCTAATGAGACAGTGCCTGTATTTCTGACCTGCCCATTCCTGATGTTTATTATTCTACCTTCCTAAGTAGTTTTATTTTAGAGGATACCAGAAAAGGAATTTCAAAACTTCACCATCAAAAAATAATTTATTTGAAAACACTCTCTCCAATTTTTAAATACTTATTTTATGTTTAAATAATTGCAATGGGATCTAGCTATTAAAACCATAAAATAACTCCATATGAAATACCTTAATCTAGAAGAGAAAATACATCTTTATTATTTCACAAAGATTTAGTAGATTTTCTCAAGTAACAGATACATAAATGAATAAACTGTTAGTTCCTGTAATAATATAAATTTAAAAGAATTCGTCATCTGGAAACCTACTAATACAGAGATATTTAAAATTGATATGGCATATTCAGTTGTATCCCAATCGGGAAGCATGTGACCTTCTATCTTGTACCTTGAGCAAGTACACCATTTTGGAGGGCAATAGTAAAAGGCACGGGGTAATGATATTCCACAACCTCCTGTTTCTCCTATCATATTCCATGTAGTACTTGGAACAATCTATATTCTTGAAAATGCCTGCCAGACTCAGACCTAAACGACAACTAGATTGAATTTTGATGGGATGAGGCATGCACGTCTCTACTATCTCTGTAGTTCACTGGAGCCCCAGGATGCACAGAAGCAGGTATTTAGGCATGGAAATATTTTAGTGGGAAATTATTTTAGCTATTAGCAAGTACTGCTATCAAGTACATTATCAAGTAATTAACTCTGACTTAAGCAAGTCTGTAAAGTGAAACAATAGAAGATATAGTATCCATACTATCTATAAGAATATTTCATTGTGCTTTAGTGCTTTTAACATCAGAAGAGGCTTTATCAGGTTCTAACAAATGTGCATTAGGAGACGGAGCATGAGCAATGCTATTCAAGTGCATCTTATGAATTACCTCAAAGGAAAATAATTTGAGCCTTTCAAGGTTGCTCCATAATGAAAACTAAGGAGCAGGGAGTGGGAATGATCTGAAGAAGATTCAGTTCCAAAATCACACTACTGGATCTAACCTAAAATGCTGATGTAGCTGCACTTTTATGTAAGCAGAAACTAACAAGACCTAAATGTCTTACACATATATACATATATAAATAAAAATAGTATCAGCTGTAATTAGGTGTCTAAGTGGATAGTAAAAATTGTGAGATGGAAGGGGACAAGTCATAGGAAAAGAATTTTATCTAGTCTGTTAAAGAGAGATACAGCAAGTCTGGCATACATTCTAAATAATTTAGTCATTTATATTAAAACATCCTCTTACTCTGACTCCCAGAAATCACAGTTCACTTAAGTAATTCTGAACTTTGAGAGAAAAGTCTTTGCAATTTCTTGACACTAGTAAAGAAGTCATTGATACACCATAGTCCTGAATGCACTGTTGGACCTCAATTTACCTCACTGAATTTTCTCTCAACGTCCAATTTATACATTCCAAAACTTCAATTGCAAAACAGGTGCTTATCCAAAGCACTACCCTTAGATGCCTCTTTTCAGAGCTACTATCATTAATGGAAAGGACTTAAACATAGAGAAAATCCATTAATAACAATAAAAAAGCAACCCAGCAAACCTGCTTCCCCCATCCCCTTTTCATTTTATTTAAGGGAACATTGACTGATTTCTGCCATCTCTAACGATGCGTCCTCTCAGGGAACAAAGCAAAGGTAACTGATATATATAAAAAAAAATCCTATACCCTAGACTGGAAGGAAAAAAATAAAATAAATTTAAGAAAGTCTTCAGAATGGCTGTCCATTGATGCATTTAAAAGGTCTTTACTGAGCTAGTGTAAAGTACCAGCGGAAGGCAAGGAAAACTATGGACTCAATATCTAGGTGTGCAATCACAAAGTCAATTATATGAAAATCGTTAAAGTTCACCCTTTCTGTACCTATCTGCCTATTCATATTTAATTAATTTTCTTCTTGCAGAACTACAAATTCCAAGAATAAAAGTAACTAATGAATAAAACAAGACATAGTGGTACATTGTAAGACACTAGACAATAACTCTCTGCCTTATGCAAACTAAAATTGTTGCAAGTAAAATTAATTTTACTAGAAAAGAATCCTGTAAATAAAGGAAACAACTACTTGAGCTGCGCAAATTATTTCTAGTTCAAATCTAAAATTCTTTCTTTTTCGCTCAGCTATGGTTCAAGTTCCTCTGTATTAACAAGCTCTTAAACTTGTTTGTACTGATCATTTCTCTTGCCACTTTCAAGACCTGCAATGTGGAAATCCTGGGTCTTAATACCTACCATACCACAAAGAAATAAGATTTTTCTAACTTAGTACTCCTGATCTGAACATCAAGAGTACACAAGCACACTTGTGCCATACCATTATAGAGCCTGACATACATGAACAGACAAAGGAAAGCTATGGACAGAAAAAAAATCTGTTAATCACACTGTGCAGGTTGACTCTCAGTATGCTTATTCACTCCATCTGACCATCTTCAATAAGATCGGCTCCATTTCTAATAAACACGCTTGTTAGTTTAACTTTGCCTCTCTTCTCTAATACAAAAGAAAAACATTTCATAGCATTGACTTAATTTTTGGTATACCATTAAATTTGCTGCCAGTAATGTACTGTTACCTTTGTAGTTAACCTTGAAGCCAACTGAGCCCACACTTTCATCTGTTTGAAGGTGCAACCACATCTGATTGCTCATGCTCACAATTAAGTCTGGTACAAAGCTCCCAGTTAACCTATAGATAGAAAAAACACATCTGTAAAGCCATTAAGTAACTAGATTTTTTCTTTCTTTTATTGTAAGGAATCTAAATAACTGTTAGCTATTTATTTATTTGTTTTTAAATTCATTGTATACAGATCACGCCAAATTATTTATGTATTGACTGGTTAGCCAATACAGCTCTCAAGGTTCCAATGACTGTTGATTTGAAAGCAGAATATAAACACTACTGCTTACCTTGTACTGAAATATTTCATCTCATTTTCAGTTGCTAGTCCAGAAATGCATGTACCTCCCCAAATCCTGAGCCTTAACTGGTGGTCCTGTTTGCATGACTCAGATATATGCAGGTACATAAAATGGCACTAGTTGCTATCCTTAAAGCGCGATACTGCTATGAAGTTCCGTGTGTTCCTGTAGTCTCTCACCTTCCCTCATCACCTGTCCCACAAGAGTAGAACCTGCCTGACAGTCTCAGGTGACATTCATTCCTTTGTTAACAAAAATACCAGATGTCACAATTTTAGAACCTCTTAATGCTGCAGGATATTGATTAATGTGAAAGAACTAAACTTGATATTTCTTTGTGGGTGGTTTTTTTTTTCATTTTCCATATTGTTTGCAAAAATCTGCAAGTCAAAGAAATCCTAAATGTTCATTTTGTTTGCTGAACGAAGTGGCATGACAATAAAAAGGAAATGTTGTGAAAGCTGCAGTATTATGTTATGTTGCATTTTTTTCCCAAAAAACTTCTTCTTAAATTTGGTAGGAGTTTATCAGCTAAAACAGAATAGTGGAAAGCACCAAAAAATTTCCATTTTTTAAAATGGATCACAATCACAAGACTGCATAAATGTGAAAGCTGTTGGCTTGGGGTTTTTTTGCAATTCTAACCATTCTTTAAAGCTAGTTGAAACTTCAAATGTCCTATTTTAAATTTATTTTGCGGTTAACTTTAGTTCTCCCCTCTGGTCTTTTTTTAGCTTGTTTCTGTGATACTCTGAAATACTCTGTTGTGGGAAAATTTCATGTCTGTTTCCCACATCTGTGTTCACAGATGGAGCTACTACAAAGACTCTTACCAGAACTGAACAAGTAAATGCTTGGCCAAAATAATCTACTGATCTCTCATTCACACAAGGAGGGAAAGCATCTTCAGTGAGTTCAGTCATTGCCAAATTGATAGAATATCAGGATGGTTCTCAGAAGCAACACTGATGTAATGACTAATAGAGTTTTGCAGTTGTCACTGGTGACTACAGTAGATTTTGGGAATATTAAGGCCACTGGGAATATTAGTCTCTCTGTTGTGTCAGAGAAAATAATTCTTGCAATAAAAGAATTAAATTAATTCTGAAGCCATTAGAATTTTTATAATTTTTGTTTTCTGAAGTAAATTATAAATACATATTCCCTAAATGCATGTTTTCAGAAACAATATTTTTTCAGTTAAAAAGTACATGGGGAAAAAATACTATTCAAAATGACATTTTGAAAATAAGAATCCATCAACACAACACAGATATCACTTGTTGCTGTGTTTTAAATGCTTTGGATTTCCTCTACAATATTTGGGAAGACTTGGGGGCCGCAAAGAAATAAGATCCAGAAAAAATACAGCATTATATGAATTATCCTTTTTTTCCTCCTGGGGTTTATCTGACATCCCTTATCCTGGATTCTCTACCTAGATTCCTCTCTTGGAAGCGGGTTCTTACACCTTCACTTTAAAAAGCTGAGTGCTGAACACTGTCAACTGTGGAAATGGAAAGATATGACTATGATTCCTCTTCTTTTTTCTTTTTTTTATTAAAGAGCTTAACAGTGACAACACTCAGCAAGATGTTTTCCACCTCTTCCTCTAGAACTCCAAACCCACCCCTCCCACACAGAAGTGAGGTGCATTCCCTCTGTGAAGTACACTGGAGACCAGATTAGAGGGTGTTTAGAAGATTGCAACTCTCTGCCTTGCATCTGCTGAAGACAGTCTGTGAAACGGGCGACTGGATACTTGCATGCCCAACACAACCCACGTGCTGAAGGAGTCGGATTGAGTTTCATGCCTTGTGCACGCAATTTTCCAAACACGTGTTACAGGAACCAGTGCCCAGATGGGGATTACATTAAGAGTCACCTGCAGCTGCTGTCAGACCAAGCTGCTGGAGGCAGACTTCCAAATATCCTGAAAAAGTGCTGTGACTGATGTATGAAGGGGGACACACCACTTCTTTTCCTTCTTCCCCTCTGTCCCTTGGTAAGAAAATTTAAGACTTCTCCACCTAGCAAAAATCTTACGAAAGGACTAAGAATGCCTTCATATTTGTCATATTGACAAACACCAAAAAAATTTATTCCACTTGGGTTTAAGTTCACTTTGGTGCAGGGCTTGCTAGGCTGGAGTAGTGTGTCCTGTTGCTGGGTGCATGTATGAAGGCTCAGAATCGAGAACACCCGAGGATATTTAATGCCAAGTACTGAAACAGCTTTGGAGTTTAGCTACTTATGTGACTAATACCAGAACAGTAGGAATTATCAGAACTGCAATTTTCAGTTTAAGAAGCATAATCCTGTATAAATGCCACTTAAATTCAGTTTTTGGTTCTGAACCTTCCTATCTAGCAGTGCCCAGCAGAACTAGTGGATTAAATGCTTGGATAGGTTTCCTGATTAACTTAGATAAATTGGAAGATAAATGTTTTCACATCATTTACGCATAAGCCAGACCAATGTTCTTCAGCAATTTGCTGGAGAAAAGATAATTCTATTAAAATTTAAAATCCAAGAATTAAATCGTACAATAGCTTATCTATTTGCTATGCATCATATCTCAGGTGAAGTCTACATGGCTCACAGGAGAAAAGATTTACAAGTTTTTAACGGTACTCAATTATGTTCCTTACTCAACATCAATACTCCTGATCACAGAATAATCATCAGTCATTCCACTAGTAAACAAAACCAGTGTATGTGTGGCTGATCACACAATGTTATTTTATATTTAAACCCCACAAATTAATTGGGTGATTTTTTGGTTTTCCAGGATTTCCACAGCAACAATTGTTTAAAATTATTTATTAAGTTATTTACAAAACAGATTCTCTGATCATAACACTTCACAATCCTAATTAACTCTTCTATTAAAGAAAAATATTCAGAATTCCTGTATATTCATGACAAGTTTAATACTGCAATGTCATCATTTCTCCCCCATGTAAGCCTCATCATCAGAAACACTTGTATAAAATAGTAACATCTTTAATGTAATAAAAATCTGGGCAGCGTGCTTTATTACATTACTCAGAAAGTTAAATATCATTGTGCTGCACCTCAATGTATTACTGTTATGCTGTATAAATTGTTACTGTAACTATGAAAAACAATAGTTTAGTTAAATGTTACTAAGACCGAGCAAATAGGTATTTAATAAATGTTCTTTCTGCGTGAGAGGTTAACCAATATATTTTAGAATACATTATCGGAAATATATTATGAAGGCTTGGTACTATTTATGAACCAGAAATTACACAACTTCCTCACTTCTCAAAGCTATTATTAATAACACTGAGCAGAACTATAGTCCACTGAAGAAATTTTGGACTATCTTGAAATAATTGCACCTGAAATACCCGGAAAAATCTTGCTCTCATAAAATGGCATAGGACAATTACATAAATAGTTAAAAATAGAAGGTCAGATAGTCTGATAAATATAGGGGGAAAGTTATGATGAAAATCTGCAAATCCTGAAACAACTGTATTTTCTGAGGAAAGTTTTGCAATTAATAATACTAATGAGATGAAATCAGGAAACAAAAAAAGGGTAAACACTGGGTTTATAGTACTCAAAAAAACCAAATTCTTAATATCATTCTCATGGTAAATAATGGAAAGTTACGGTGTGTTAAAATAGTATTAATACATTTCTGCCGAATATACTGCAGGGAATATCATTATATGGAATCCTTATTTTACTCTTCTTTTTTGTTTTTAATAAATACATTTTGTACTAAACATTTATCACATCTGCTTCTGTTCTGATCTGTGTTTTAAATTTGTAATTCATTGGAACTAATGAGAATATATATATATATATATATATATATGCGAGAGTCCTATACGTCTGGGCTCACGCATTCTTGAAAAAATGCTAATGGATGATAAAATCTTTTTTAATACTTGGTGTTCTCTGATTTGTAATCATAGGTGATCTAGGTAATATCCTACTCCAATATTTCTCTGTAGTAATTTTCTTCACTATACTTACTTATGTTTTGATTTATCTACAACATTCAATAAGCGCTTAAAGGTCAAGATCCTGTAGTATATCTTTTTTCATACTAACTTCCTAGGAGATTGTTCTTATATACTTTTAATCTGAGAATACACTTATAATGGGAGGACAATAGCCCCTAAATTTTTACATGTCTACACACAATTGCACAGACTAGGTCTTTTAAAATGTCTGATTTAAGTTTATCTTTTCCTTTTCTCATGTCTAGCCCACCACTTTCTGACTTCAGAACAGTAAACATAGAACAATATATTTAAACTGTCACCTTTGGTAATTTTAGAAGCTCAGTAAGATTAGTTTTTGTTTAGATTTACCTGATTCTAATCACTATTTATGGTCATTGAGAAACACATTAACGATATTCTTTGAAGCATGCAAGTTGTAAATGCATAAGACTTACACTTGAAGCACGGTTTTAGGATCACCCACTTCTCCTCCATCACCAATTGTCAGTGTGTCATAGCCAATCTCCAGATCAAATTCTTCAAAATTTATCTGAATAACCTAGGAAATAAGTTAATATATTTTAGAAATAAAGAAACATACCTGAGAGACGAATCTGTAAATAAGGCTTTCAGCATTATAAACAAAAGAGATTTTCTTATTAATAATTACATGTAATTTTATCATATTTTAGAATAAATTATTGTAATTAACCTAACATGTTTGGTTCAGGAAATATTAACTATAATAACTTCAAGGCTTCATCACTCTGCTGACCTCCTCAAAGCACCACCATTGCACTTATTTATATAGTTGTTCTGTTTAATACAGTTCTGGATAATTGCATTACATTTTGATTAAAATATACTCAAAGGGCAACATAACTAATTGCACTTTGTGCAATGCAACCGTCTTCAAATAATAACTGAATAACTGTACTTCAATGAGTAAATGCAGTGAAGCTGAAGAAAGTAATTTACTCCTGACATCTACAATCTGGCTCAAGTAAAATAAAGCTGGAGAAAAGGTAAAAGTGAATTTCTTATTTCATAAACCCTAATGAAATTGCAAGTATTAGAAGCATAGGAATTTTTATTTCCTGTAATTTAAACATATTTAATGCTGAAGGACAAAATTTCAGATCCATTTTAAGAAGAAAATGTTTTTTTTTCACTTAAGAGCAAAATTTAACTATATTAGTAGAAAAGAAAATACATTGTTTTCACTCATGTATTAATCATACAAACTCTGTCTTTATGAAAATAATAGAAGTTCCTCAAATATTTATATAGATAAAAATGAAAAAATACATATGCACAGGAATTTTTAGTACTTGCATCTGTAATAAATGGTCTTTAATTGTTGTTACAATTAAGAACTAAGAGTATTTGTCTTTAAAGCTGTGGATGCCACCCTGATGGATTAATATCACATCCTTGCAAGAGCACATCATTTTGTTACAGTCAGGTTCTGCTAATTGTTTGAAGAAGGGCAGGTTTCCATGAACAAAAACCAGTACAGGCAAGTGGGAGAAAATAATGTATGTTCTGAGGATTGTAATCCATTCCGAATTGAGGAGAAACAATTTCGTTTACAGGTGTATACAAAGTTCTGTATTCTGTGTGTGTGCGCGCAGGCTCGCGTGTGTGTGTTACGCCCCAGGGAACACAGTCAAGTACAGAGAATTAAGAGGGCCCAGATGGAGACGACATGGAAAATTTCGTGGGCAAGTACTGTCTGCTTTACTCAGACAATTAGAGATGTTTTGTTCTAATTGTCTGGGTAAAGCAGACAAAACAACAGATAAATCTTCTTAACCTTCTTAGTGTAACAAAAATATGCTGGATAGTTTGCGTTGTTCCAGCCACAGAATTTGTAAGCCTAGATATAAGAATTTAAATTGAAATTAATAACTAGGTTTAAGGCTGACATATATTTCATTCACTATATTAAAAAAACCAAACACAACAACAAAATCTTAGTTTTTGTTCCACACTTAAATTAGATGTGCAGTTCCATCAGAACAGTACTCTGATTCTGTGATTCTGAGTGAGAAGATGATGCTATTGGAAGTGAATTCTGGAAGACAGGCTCAAGGCGAAAAATTCAGAGATGCAGAATTCCAGCATGTTTTACCACCATAGCCATGATCTATCATTTCAGACATTTTAAGTCAACTAATTACATCAGATACATATCTGTAAGGCTTTAGATCTTTACTTAAAGTTAAGCAATAAAATAATTACTATTCTTTTCTTTTTCAGAAAAAGCTATGTAGTTCCTGAATTTTGTACATCTAGTCCCTGAATTTTTGTACCTTTATAGTAGCTTGTGTGACATATTCAGCACAGTAGATTACTATAATTATACTATTAACTGACTATTATAATTACAGACTAATCATAATTAGAATATTGTTTCAGAGGATATTATTACACATGTCCCTAGACACTACTGTCAGGAAAAAAAAGAAATCTTTTGTATCCATTTCCTCCATATACATACTTATATATAAACAACACGCGAGAAGACTTCAGTGAATGTTTAATGGATAACTTGAGAACTTCCTACAACTCTTCAGAGAGAGAACATGCTCAGGAGGATGTGTTCCAGACAGCAATCTTTCAAGATAACTGTTCAATATGGCTGAGTCAAGTTCCTGGTGGAACCAGCTCCCCAAGGGTTTTTAAAGGAAATGAACGTTCCAGATGAAGTAGTTTCAAAACATAGACAGGAGAATGGTGTGTAACAGAAGCAAGTACATGTGCTTCAGAAGTGCTTCTAAAGGGGAAATAGCAAGATTCAAAGTTGTATGTATTTCCATAAGGACATCTGTTATCCTAAAGCTTCCAATGCAAATGCAACTCTATAAGCATTTTCACATGTTCAGCGATGTTTGATATTTTATTGGTAAAATAACCATGAAGAAGTTTCTAAAAATGTTATGAACCTTTTCCTCTCAGAAAGGTACTCAAAAATTAAGCTAAGATATTGTTTAAATGACCTATATCTTAGATAATATTAATAGTAAAGAATAAATTTTATTTAAAACATTCTGCCAAGTTTGCAACATCATTACATAATATTTTGCTGCACACTGCACATTGCATATAATTCAATGATTCAAAATATCCCAGAACTGTGTAGTATAACCATAGTTTAACTGTCACTTTGGTAGTCATCTATTACATGAACAGAACACAACCCAGAAGGAAACAGCCTAAATATTAAGCATTTCTGTCCTTTCAAATTTGATTTAATCTTTGAGTATCAAAGGGGATGAGAAAAGGGGGAGAGGAAGAAGAAAAGGAGAAAGAACACATGGATATTTATAAACCATTTTAGAAAAGGTAAGTGACATACAAACTACAATTCCAGAAGATAAATATTCACTAGCTGAACTAGAAAGTTCATTCTATATCACTGAGTACATTTGTTGGCAACAGGATTCATCATACTTAACTGTAGACAACTACGGTGCAAATACTTATATTTGATGTAGGCTTCATCATAATCAATGAAAAAAAAAGTACATAATGCACACTAGATGAATCACAGCTCAGAAGTACCTATTTCTCGGCCTTGACTATGAAGTAAGACTAGACATTTATATATGGATGTCTACACTGTGGACATCTAAAATGGAATTATCTCACATATATAAATTTAAGCAGTACCATCTGAGATGCTGTAAAGCAGACAAAAGATCCACATAAACCTGGCAAACACAAAATGTTCAGGAGAACTGTGATCTTTTAGGAAGGCAGCTGAAGACTAGATGGGGTTATCCTGGGGTATTGTACATCAATGGCTCTCAGTAATCTCAATTCTACAAATAGTAGATGAATTTTGCTTTGCAGAGTCATTGGTAAACACATCACGTAATTTCTTTCATGCAGTTCTTTGAAAGGGGCTTTTGTTTTGTTGTGGTTTGTTGTTTTGTTTTGGTGGGTTTTTTTAACTCCAATATTAATGCTCCAAAATTAATGGCCCAATACTTAATTTTCTATAATCATGCAATCAGTTATAAAGGTTATTTAGAATTATTTACTTTGGGGCCACAATAATTGAAAGCAAATGTATAATCCTTCCCTATGCTGAGAACAAATACTACTGGAAAGACTTAAAATGGAAGAAGAGCACATTAACACCATGAAGAGATTATATTTCTATTTTTCATGTTTTAGCTTTTTGTTGGCATAGAAGTATAACCTGTGTTGTGTTGGCTTCCATCGACAAGAAGAGACTGATTAATTAGAGGAATACAATCTCAACATTTTATCAACTTACACAGCTCAAATAAAAAGTATTCTACAAAAAAAGAAGTTATCTTGTAAATAAGACCTTCTACCAAGAAACAAAAATAAATAACAATTACACAATTTAATTCAACTATCAACATAGCACCCACAGGAGTGCAAAATAAATCATTAAACAAGCCCATTGATTTTACTTGAGTCAGTCTGTTTATCATGTTCCCAACAACATAAATTATTATCTAACTTCTATCTTGTAAAATAGAATATCGTCTTATGGGTTTGGTGCTTTTCATTTTTTTTTACCTGTAAGCAATTATTTCAGAATGGATTTTACCATATTTTCTCACATCTTAACCTTTGCAAATGCTGTGTCACTTTACCTTTAAAATTAACAGTGATTGTATGTAAAATTAAATTAACCCTTCACTAATTCTTATTAAGCTACTAGAAAAGAAGATAATATTTCTGATCTAAACACTGAAGAAAATGACTGGTTAGTAACTAACATGTGGGAAGGGCATTTGTATCTAGAAAACAGCAAGAGAAGGAAAGGCTGCACTGGGTAATTCCGGACACCTCTCCAGTGCCAGAACATCTATTATTGATCTACAAATAAATCTATTTCTGCAAACATTATCTTGCAAAAAAACCCCACAGTATGAATGATCCAAATATACTAGCAACAGCAAGAAATCCGCCTCCCTAAAATGTACTATAAGTTACCTACTTTCATCAGTTTTCACTGTTAACTCTAGAAAAATCACACCTATAAACTTCTAATAAAGTCATGCCCAACCTTTTCTTATCAATGAAAAGGAATTCTCTAGTTGCCTTCTTCACTAATAGAAGTGAAGCTAGGAAAGAATAAAATACATGTTGTTTATATCTGTGTGTCCTCTTATGCCCTCAGGATGGTTAATTGCTTTTGTGCTGAGGATGTCCAACTACTTCCCAGTAAGAAAATGCTGTGCATTTATATCTGATGGTACAAGCTAATGAAATGCAGCCATCTCATTGATAGGCTTTACCTCCATAATTTTCCATAGAATCACAGGTCTCTCTATCAAAATAATTGTGTTATTATATATTCAATTATAGAAGAATATAGTTTCAATACATTGAATCCATCATTTATTATAAGGCTGAGGTGTAATTTTATTTAAATTATTTATACTGAGGTATAATTTTATTTAACATTAAAACTACCATAAAGCAGATAACCCTGGAAATCATTTTCAGGACCATTAAGGATAAGAAAATCATCAAGAATAGTCACTATGTCTTAACCAAGGGGAAGTCATG